CCTCTGCCGGACCTGACTCCCCCCTCCCGCCAAGCAGGGAAGCCTCCATTGCGCACTCCCTCTGGGGCCGACCCCCACTCCCACGGAGGAAGGAAGCCCCGTCGCACGCCTCCGCAGGGGGAGAGGGAGGAGTTAGGTCCGGCGGAGCAGGGAGGCCTTCGTTCTGTGCCCCCTCTAGGCCTGACTCCCCCCTCCCTCAGAGAAGGGAAGTCCCAGCGCGCGCCTGTGGGGACTTACCCGGTAAGTTCCCGGAACGCCAGGGAGCTGGGGCAAGGAAGCAGCTAGCGCATTTCCGGAACCTTCCGTCTACCCCACGGGAATCTGCCACTACCTCCATTGTTGCTCGAGGTAGGTAGTGGGGCTTCTTGGAAGTGGGGAGAAATGGGGGGCCCAGAACGCCTCCCAATCAACTGGTCGAGGCCTTGGGATCAACCAGTCGATCGCGATCGACTGGTTGGTGACCACGGCTCTATGCCATCATCTAAATAACTGATAAAGATATTGAACAGAACCAGTCCCAAAACATATCCCTATGGACAGGGCTCGACAAACAATGCAATCTACTCGCCACAGGCGAGTAGATTACAACCCAGAAGAGCTGGGTTCGGGAGATCTGCGCATGGGCAGAATGATCTGCGCATGTGCAGATCGCCGGACAGTGCGGCTAGTGAGCGGGGCTCGCTGCTGTTTGGTGAGCCCTGCCTATGGAAATCCACTTATTATGCCCTTCCAGCATGACTGTGAATCGTTAATAACTACTCTAGGAGAACAGTTATCCAGCAAGTCATGCACCGACCTTTTAGTAGCCCTATTTATGTTGTATTTCCCTATAGCCACAAGAGTTGTCAGCAGAGACCTGATCTGTGACCTTTCACACTAAAAGAAAAAAAGTGCAGTTTGATTTATTATTGTTAGAGCCAGACAGACTCTCACCCTAAACCAGTGTATTAGAGAGTCATTTTTTGTTCACATTGACACTCATGTATCCCCATTACAGATTGAGAAGTGTGAATCCTCTCAATACCTCTTTCCTACTTTTAACTTCAGAAGTTTTCACCTGGAATGCTGGACTTAAGTCTGATTATGTAGCCTGATGTGCTTTATGGCCTTGGATACTGAAGTCTATGAAATAATAAACATACTGCTATTGTGACATGCACAATATCCAACTATAACAGTCTATTTAAAAGGAAATACTGTAGATTACACTTATTCTTGATTCTAATTGGCCAAAAGAGAACGTGGCTTGTTAAAATTCTTTAGAACTCTCCAGAAAT